CAAGTGTCCACGCTGCAGTGAGGCACCACCGTAAATGACACTAATTGGCATTTTTGTTGTCAGACTCTGCAAGGAGGTTGAACTGAACAGCCATGACAACTGAACAACCATTTCTATAACTTTAGGGATTTTCCAGGGATCGCAGTCGAGACAAGTCAGCGGGGTGGTCTAGGGCAGCTTGAGGCATGGACACAGCGAGTGGATGCATAGGAAACGTGATGAATGTAAAACCTTGTATGATAGAGTTGTATTTTGAAGAAAACAGTTCCTATTAACCTTCTAAATAGTCGCACAATATTTTAATGGGATTGTACCACAAAAGGAAAATGTAAATGTTTTTGCTCCGAATATGTTATAAATCAGATGCAAAATATATTGAGAGAGTCATTTTACTAGCTTATTAAACTGGTTCTTGCTTCAGTTATGGGAGGGTCAGTGAAAACATGTGGCAGGTATGTATGTACCTATTGTACAAAAGAATTTTTCAGGAAGGTTTGCAGGAGGAATATATACATCTTTATCTATATTTTACAGAAGAAGTATTGAGAAATTCTGGGGAAAATTAATACTTAACTTTAAAATGCTTACTAAAGAACTTTAAAAGTACTTTATATAATATTCATATTGTATATACATCTTTTCCTATGGTGTGAACACTGATCAGAAGAACATAAATTAACAGAAACAGTGTTTTTATCTGTGAAATGCATCCTAAAGGTACATTTTGTGGACTGAACAGAAAGATGCATGTTTGTCCAGGTTCCTGAATTTGTGTTTGGCAGCTGAAATGTGAATTAGAGCAACTAGCTGTCCTCAAGCTAGCTTCAGTGCAAATATAATTGCCCAAATTATCTATGCATTTTGCATCCAAAAGGCAGGTGTGTTACTGGCATTTTTAACATCTTAACTAATAATTCACGTGTGACAGAGAATAGTTTGCTTATTTACTAATTCTTCTAAATGGTAGGTGGTCACAAGCATTGAAAACAACTGGAATTAATGTAAAAAGACTGGGTTAGAAACACTGAAACGTAATGTTTCTAACATAGCTTGGTGAACATTCAAATGCATTTAACAGAAAGAGAAATTCATTTTAATGAATAAGATAGCTACAGCTGATTGTGTAGAGATAATTACAAGATTTTATTATGTGAGCTATTAGAAGAAAAAACTGGTATGATTTATGAGCTAAGGACAGTCGCAAATTATTTAAGCTGATAGAGAAAGCATAGTTGGAAATAATGTTATGAAACTGAAGTACCTTTATTATCAAAAAAGGACTTATTAAATACTGAATCATGTTCAACAGATCATCTGTATGCGCTCACAATTATATTGGTATAATTTAGAAAAAAGAAAAACTTTCTTTCTGTAGTACTAGAAAATAAGCACAGCCATGGAAAAAAAACAAGCTGCTTTTTTGTTTTGCACTTGCATGGAGATGATGTAATTTGTGGAAAGTATTTTCTTCGTTATTCCGCGAGGTAGTGTCTCTTAGTCAGATTAGGATTATATACGGAGCTACTGCTGAGAGCCAGATCATAAAATAACCGTGCAGCGTGCAGAGTCAGGAGGGTATAAAGCAAACGGGCCAAAGAACCCGCAGGGTTTTACTCTGTTGCAGGATGGTCAAAGCGAGGAAGGTCACGAGAGCCCGGCGTTCCAGCCTGGTTTGGGGCAAGGACCTGAATCTGAGCTTCCCCCAGCCATGTCAGCGCTTTAACCCGTAGCCCAATCCGTTTCTCCCACAAAGCACTTCGAAAGGTCTCTGTTTCATCCCGCGGCCGAAGGAAACCACTTCTGAAAAAAAACCAATAAAATAACCCAAACTCAAAAATGCTTTGTGAAGTAGGTTTCTTGTTTTCCAGGCCGCTGTAGTGATTTCTGCCTTTGATGAAACAAACTTCTAGCAAGAGGACGATTTTGAAAAGCAATGCTTAGGGGGATGGCATTGGTATAACCACTGGAGGCAGTAAGGCGGTGCATTCGAGTGGAAGGGTGGCCTTGTATCTAGAAGCAAAAGGGGCCTTACACAAAATGTCAGGGCTGTCTTTATTCAGGTCATTGAGTGTTTCCAGCAGCTTGGTGATATATGAGGATATGAGAAGAGAGGAATAACTTGTAGCTGTTCACATTCAAGAAATGCCACTGGGAAGAACATGTAATATGTACTTGAAAGTGAGGGGGAGAGGGGGATGAAGGGTGAAATTTTTTGCAAACAATTAATGATGTTTCAGAGAAACCCTTTTGAATTAATTTTATTTGTTGCAAGCATGTATTATAGGTTAGCATATAAAAGAAAGTAAAGTATGGATTCAGTTAAGCAAAATTAATCATTTTGTTTCACATAAATTTCAGTTCCTTAGGTTTCGTTTCATTTAAAACTGTAACATTTATATTAATGCTCTCAAATTACCTAGTGTGGGGGACAAAATCATATCTGTAATACACGTTACTTGCAGACAGTACTATTTAAAATGTGTATGATTAGATTGTCAGTGGTTGGACGACATCACAAAATTTTTCTCATGCATTTCTTGAGTGACCACAGCCACTGTACTTGTATTTGTTACCATTTACGGCAAAAGTCTATATGATTAAAAAAAAAAAAAACCTCTCAAAATAAACAAAACCGTACCAAAGTACTTGTATAAATTGTTTTTATAATGCAAATGTTTGAATAGATATATTTGATTTACCTTCTTTGGTTTATTACACAAGCAAACATTAAAAAAAAAAAAAAGTCGCATAATGCAAAAGTGCCTACCACTATTTTCCCCAGAAAGTGCTGAGTAAAGTATATTGTGTAGCATAATTATAGAAAACCTGGAGTAACTAATTCAGTTCGAGCAGATACTGAGGAAAGAAAGAAAGAAAGAAAAGTATTACAGTTCTGTAACGGTTCTTGGCCCGTGCCTTTCCGCTGTCTGTAGGGAGGACGGTTTAATTGAGAGTCAGGAATGTTTTCCTCCGCGCTGTAGCTGCTGACTGTGGATTAATTTGATGAGTGTCTGATCTAGCTGTAGCCCCTTTCACTCTGGCATCCCTGCCTGCACATGGCCTTTGCAATAGGGAAATCCGTGTTAATAGATTTTTTTCCTGCTTGTTATCAAAGTCATCCTCACCTTTCTTGTGGGCTGTTGGCGCTGTGTAGGATGTCTTAATTCAGGGCGGGACTGAACTCTTAATCAGTGAAATTCTGGTTTTCCAGCAGAGATCTGTGCTGGAACGGTATGAAGCTTCTTTAATAAAGTAACAGAGCAAGGTTTCCTAGTGGGATCATAAAGCCAGAGTCATTACAGGCTTGCCAAATGAGCTTGTGGTAATTATAAAGTGATATATTTTAAAATTTTGAGTGAGATTTGCATTAATTAGCAACAGACGCTGATATATATGTTCTTTGCTTTGCACCAGCATTGGTGGGATTGTATAATTAAAATAAACCGGTTAGCCTTAAAGCTGAGAAAACTGAGCTATGTTCTTGCCCGACTTCTTTCCCTTTTTTTTTTCTTTTACAAAAATGCAGTTTAAATCTTCTAGGTGGACACTTTTGAAAAACTCAAGCGTAATAAGATAACAGGGTATTTTTTCTTTTCATCATACAACTTAAATTAATTTATAGGCTGATGTGTAGGCTGATCAACAGCTGATGGGAAGAGATGGGATCCACCTTACCAAGGTGGGACACGCGCGTTTTTGCCAACAGATTGGCCAGCCTGGTAAGGAGGGCTTTAAACTAGGCAAGATGGGGGAAGGGGAGTGGTATAGTGGCAGGGGAGTCAGTAAAACACTGCTCAATACCAATGCGCGCAGCATGGGGAATAAACAGGAAGAGTTAGAGATGTGTGTGCGGTCGCAGGGCCATGATCTCATTGCAGTGACAGAGACATGGTGGGATAGTTCACATGACTGGGATGCTGTCATGGATGGCTACATGCTTGTTAGGAAAGACAGGCCAGGAAGGCGAGGTGGTGGAGTTGCTCTTTATGTGAGGGAGCAACTAGAATGTGTGGAGCTCTGCCTCGGGGTGGATGAAGAGCAAGTTGAGAGCCTATGGGTAAGGATTAAAGGGCAGGCTAACATGGGTGACACTGTTGTGGGGGTTTACTACAGGCCACCCGACCAGGAGGAAGTCGTCGATGAGGCCTTCTACCGACAGCTGGAAGTAGCCTCACGATCACAGGCCCTGGTTCTCATGGGAGACTTCAACCACCCTGACATCTGCTGGGAAGGCAGCACAGCTAGGCACAAACAGTCAAAGAGGTTCCTGCAGAGGACTGATGATAATTTCTTGACTCAGGTGGTGGAGACGCCAACGAGGAGAGGTGCAATGCTAGACTTTGTATTAACAAACAAAGAGATTCAAAAAATACTGGGGAGAAAGTGGGATCATTTCAATATCAAGTTGTTGTGTCACCACAATATGTATACTAAAGCATTAAAAAAACTGTTTAGTTTTGACCTATATAATCTTTGCAGCAGGAGCTACTGGTTTCTTAATGTCTGGAAAACAGCTACAATGTTTTTTGATCATTACTTACATGTAAGTAAGAGCACTTACCTCTAGAGATGATTCCTTTTGGAATGGTTACTGACCCTTATGTGTTAGGTTTCATTTTGTTGGTTTATTCATTTTACTGTAATGAAATACAGTGACAAAAACAATGCTTTAGTACCAGTGCCTTGCATGCCTATTTCTCTCTCTCTCTCTCTCCTCACTGCTAGAGTTGTTTGCTTAGCCCAGGCTAAATACAGATAGAAAGGAAAACTTTTCTTCTTTCCCCCTTTTTTTTTTTTTGAGTTACGTATTGTCATGGTTCAGATTTTAAAATTTACTTTAACTTTTATGTATTTGATACATCTGATGATTACATCGCTTTAATGATAAAGCAAATACTGGCACCATCAAACCATATGACCATCTCTTGTGCCAATCGATAGTTGAATAATAGTTGAATAATTATGCAGACTTGCAAAAACTTATCCTTTCTTTCCCAAAGGTAACAACGCTGGTTAACACAAGCAATAAGGGACCATCCGGCAAAAAGAAAGGGCGCTCTAAGAAGGCTCACGTGTTGGCTGCTTCGGTAGAGCAGGCTACTCAAAACTTTTTAGAAAAAGGAGATCAAATTGCTAAAGAGAGCCAGGACCTGAAGGAGGAATTGGTTGCTGCAGTAGAGGATGTACGCAAACAAGGTATGTAGAACAACTTGCTTAACTTTGCAGCTATTATGATTGATGCTTTATGGATCTCTTCCAAAAGAAGCGTATTGGCTGCTCTGATCACAGAATCACACAGAATCACAGAATGGTTGAGGTTGGAAGGGACCTCTGGAGATCATCTAGTCCAACCTCCCTGCTCAAGCAGGGACCTCTAGAGCATATTGCCCAGGATCACGTCCAGACGGGTTTTGAATATCTCCAGGGAAGGAGACTCCACTACCCCTCTGGGCAACCTGCTCCAATGCTCTGTCACCCTCACAGTAATGAGGGTGATGATTTGATGATACGATGAAAACTACCTTTGCCTTATCTTACACTATATTTTATTACAAAGTAGAAATATTAAAATAGCTCTACATTCATGAGTAGCAGTGAGTGTAAAGAATGTTCTAACTTGGATAAAACAAAATGTAAATTTTTTTCTGAGCTGTTCTAACTCAAAAAGGAAACTCAAAGATTATTTAGCAGTTATGCTGCCCAATGCCTATTGTTTAATTTTTAACTTGCTTTTTATACCATTGTGTAACAGAATTACATTAAAAATGATTTGTCACTTTATTAAACTTTGAGCAGTAGTTTGAGGTTTGTAGAACTGGTGTTCTGAGGCATACATTTCTGAACGATCTTAACAATTATCAACGAGATAATACAGCAATATAGAATTACTTGAAGTTTCTAGTATATATACAAAGATTATCATATTCTGAAAAACATAAATGATAACATTATTAAAACCATTTTTTGCTGGGTTGATGATCATAAAATAAATATTAACATTAGTTTGCATACTTTGTAGGTTAAAAATGAAGTTTCAGGATAGGCAATGTGTCAAAAAATCACTACCTAATTGGGCATGGGACTTGGTCTTGAGGAAATAACACTTTTAAACTGATTTTTCAAAATCTGATATTTGAAGTTTACAGTGGTATTATAGGGAATATGCTTTCAAGTAATGCTTTGAAATTTCAGAAATAATCTTGGATATGAACTGATATTTTTGTCTCAAAATGTAACACATCTGATGCTTTCAGTTTTTCATGTGTAGCAGGGAAAAATGTGTTTTTAGTAAATGTCCATAGAAAAACTCTTCCCTTTTATTAACATTTATTGTAATTTTCTTTATTGTAGCATAATTAAGTATCTTTCATTTTTTTCCATTGTAAATCCTATAATCTGAATATACCATCTGCCAGTATCATCATTCCTGGCTTTTAGAGCAAGACTAGCAGAACTCCAGCTGAGATTTCAAAAGGAGCCTAAAGGAATTAGGTATATGATTCTTACTGAATTTCAATGACTTGGGCCTCATGGCGCTCATATCATGGTTTTCAAAAAGGTACTTCAGTCCTTAAAAATTGCACTCAAATGATCATATGATCAATGATTGTATGACCAGGCAGGGTTAAAATCCTGTATACATAACCACTGGGCAGTGAATGTTCCAAATGTTCCTGTCTGTTCTGTCCTTAGGCTATTTTTAACTCCTACCTACTACATATATATTTGGTTTCTCTGTTACCCTATGTGGATGGACTTTTTTTTTTTGTTGATTCAGCTGCCTGTTATGTTACAATAAGTCTAGTATTTGCTATATAGCCTTACAGCAAATGTATTGTTGTTCTAGTCTTCGGTTTTATTTTAGAGTTTTGATGTTGATGCTTGGTTGTTCTGGTGTGCAACTTCGTCTGTCAATGTCGGTTTTCCGTTGCTTACATTTCTTATTTTGTGTAACGTCAAACTCAGGTTCAGCATCTTGACTGCTGACATGAGGACCCTTCTTTCCTCTTGATCTGTTGGCATATCCCCCTCTGGGGCTTTGATGCTGACTCAGTCTTGCTAGCTTTTCTCCAGGAACCTTATACTGCGTTAGGATCATCAGCATAGTCTGCTGCGTGCTGTCTAATTTGTTCATGTGTACCACGCTCATTAGCATGGTATCTACATCCCTTGTTTAGCTTTCTTTGTCATTAATGCTTCCTATTAGCTAACGATGGTTTGGTTGTAGGTTTGCGCTTTTTAAAGTTGGCAGCATCTGAGAGGAATGCGGTGGAGGATTTTGGTTTTCTTCTTAACTGCATTCCTGGCTTCTTAATTGATACTAAACCTTTTATTGCTTTTTAATATGTATGGATTTTTTTTGAAAAGATGCAGGAAATAAAGGAGGACAGAAGTCTTCAACATTATGCAGAATGAGGCAGACATTCATCTTTTGTCAACATTGCGGGCTGGAAAATGGTCTGAGAGATGTGGAACAGCTTTTTTGGAGATGAGCCCATAATTAAGAGAGTCGGAGACACTGAGTGCCGTTATTAGCACACATGAGCCACGTAAGCCAGACCAGCCCTGGTGAAATGTGAAATGATATGTTTAGCTCAATGACATAAAGAGCTGGATTAATGATCTGAGGCTGCGTTTTGCAACAGCATTGCTAGTTGATTTCCTGGCAAGATTCCACCTTGGATAATTACACCGTCAACCTAAAAATGTCTCTTGCAGTTACACTGCAGTTCTTCGTTTCCTGCCCTACACTGCTGTATGCTGTTGTATGCACCTGTAAATGGTTGTTGTTGCAATTCATCCTGGAGAGCGCTGCTTTCCATTGGTAGGTGAAACAAATGTACTGTATCGTTGGCATGGTTCTGAATGAAAAGAACATGTAAGTTTAAGGTCCTTATTACTTTGGTAATGTGGAAGGAGTAAGTTACATTTGACATTCAGCAACGTAGATTTACGAAGCTGAGTTCTAAAAACAGCCAAGAGCAAGAAGACAAGAATGTTTTTTTATGTATTTTTTCAGATACCACACAATTTTATGAAAAAGTAAATAAAGGTTTATATAAAGCTCGTAACTGTCTATATATGTGTATAATCCCATAATAATCCCATAATAGGTGCACTTCTGCCTCACCGGTCTTCAAAAACGTAAAACTGGTGAAAATAAGCTTTAGTTCATACTCATCTGACTGAAGTTATGAAATTCCTCTAAATGCCAAAGTATTCTTTGTTATATGGGTCTTATTGCTATGCTGTCAAAGCTGTGTAAAAGATTTCCCAGACACAGGGAGGAGGCTGGGAAACCTGGGTGTTTCTTATTACGTCTTCTTACATTAGAGATGAGAGAAAGCAGACCTGCCTCTTCATAGACAAGTTTTGGGAGCAATGAAATTTTCGTAGAAGCAGACTGTGATGTTATAATAACCCTATAATAAGCAGCATAATGATCCTAGGCCCTGAAACTGCAGAGCCTGAGAAATGCAGGGGCGCAAAGAAGAACTCGTAGAAGTATAGTCTGGGGAGAGGAACAGATGGGCATGTTTTTGTAGCAGAGGTGTCTAAATGTAATTGTAGGATCATTAAGGAAGAAGGAAATCCTCTGTGGAGGAGACATTCAAGTTGTGTTTCACATGAAACGTCTAAACAGAATTGGAGAATCCTTTGGGCTCCTGCTAATTGGTCAGATTAAATTTATTAAGAAACAGTCTAGGGTGCTGAGGAAAAACAATTAAACCTATGAAAATTTATTGCATCTATTAAATGACTTAGGATATGTCTGTCCTTTAGGTATGTGCTAGTGGCTGCCTGCTTTTAGTGTAACAGTCCTAGAAGTTCACCAACACATAATCAGAACTGCTGTTAAAAACATAAGTTAGTCTAGAAGCAATTTGCCGTGTTTTAAAACTGTTATATTTCTCAGTCACAGACGATACAACTTCACAATGCAATCTAAAATTTATACTTACATCAAGAGACAGAAAACAGTTATTGAAGGTTTTTGATGTTTTGCAGATAGCATAAACTTCTTGAGGTAGCATTAATTTTTTATTCGTTCAGATTTATGTGCATTGCATAAAAAGAATATGATCCATGTACCATATGAGTGTCAGTAAAGTTGAAAGTACATGTCAACAAATGACACACAAAGCTACTTTAACATAACCTTTTCTTGGTAACTTTTTTTTTTTCTTGGTGATAGATCATACTAAAAATTGATAGTTTTGATGCCTTACTTAATACTTTTACAAACCTAGTTTTGAAACCCTTTAAATTAAATTTTTAACTGAACTCTGTAAAAGGTCATCTTCCCTGCTGTTCTCCCCTGTCTTCAATTACCTTGGAAGAAAAGCGAGGAATCTGCAAATTTCATTATTTCAGACTAAGGTGGGGAGCAAACTCCAAAACTAAGCAACAGTCAAAAGATATCAGCTGTTCTCATAATAGTTTTAATGTGTGCCACAGAGAAAAACAGGTTCCCTGTATATTTGAGATAATTGTAATGTGATTGATTGCAATTGTCTCAGTTTTGTTTTCCTGGATTACCAAATGCAAATCCATGCACAGTGTTCTTTGAGTCTCGTTTCTTAAAAGAGTAATCCAGTTCAGTTGGCCATTTATATTTTGCAAGATTCCTGATTCCGTGATTTTCTTTCCGTCCCTTGTTAGACCAACAGTTCCTGCCTAAAGCCCAGGTTCAGGAGTTGCATGTTATCTCAAGTCTTTTATAAAAGTTTCTGTTCCTGTCTTTCATTGTTAATAGCTGCATGTAGGTCTTGACTTTCCCGAATGAAACAGAAAGCTCCTTCTCCAGTTTTGCCTTCCTTAAAACTTTTCTCGTCTCTTTAGATCTTTGTTTTCTGCCCTCTAACCCAGTCAGTCTTCCTTTTTAACTGCATCAAAACTCGCCACCTAGAGAGCGTAACATTTGGTCATGCCTCTCTATTTTGTGGAGTTGGTGAATGTTCCTTTGTAATGTCTCTAGTGCAGTAGAACCTGCAAAATGTTAATAGTCATCTTTGCCAAGTACTCTGTGCTGCTACTACTGTTGTCCTTCATTTCCTCCTTCCTTTCTTTACTTCTTCATGTGGTCATATAATTATTTTGTCTTTCTTTCAATTCAGGTCCTGAAACATGCCAAATCTCATGCTCTCTTAACATCTCCCTTGTTCCCTTTTAGCCCTTCTTGTTCCTGTCTCCTT